GATGACTGGCTACCCTAGCTTCTTAGCCTTCTGCGCAGCCCGTTCGATTAAATATGCCAATGCGCAGCAAGTTGGGAAAATCAGGCAAGCGTGGAGATAAGCGAAGGCAAGCGACTGCACCCTTCAGCTTCCCTGCGGCTCGACCTTCTCCTCTGGCAGTCCATTCCCTAGCCCCTGCTGATGTTCCTTTCGAGCCAGCACCGCCAGCAGACGCAAAGCTGCTGCTAACTGCTGCTGCAGACTCATTACGGAGAAGGGGGGGATCTGAGCCCAACGCATGTCGGCAAAAGATACAGCAAACGCACACACGACTGAGACAAAAGAAGAAATGGGAAAGATATTTAGCTGCCTCCGACGCAAACGCGCAGTATATGCAAGAAACCATGCCAACTGGCTAGCTATCCAGTTAGGTAGTTGGCTAGCGGGCTAGCTAAGTAGCTACGAGTATGCCTTGAATGCGTACGTGCACGAACAAAGAGGCCACTCCGCTCCTTTGACCCTCTTGCAAGCTCTTGAAGCTGCAACCGGACGCAAGGGCACACATTAGCAGCGGCAAAATATGTAGGCGACAGAGAAAGAGCAATAACTCACGTTTGATTCTCCCTAAGCGAAAAGCTAAATACGGTGAGGGAGATCGACGCACTAGAGAAAATTGCAAACGAAACAACCCGCGTCATCGGAGACACAGCAGGAGAAACCCCGTCGGCTCAGGTCAGCAGCAACAGGCTGAGAATAACACACAGCAGCAAACAACGAAGAGTGAAGCCGAGACCTTGTGTGTCCTTAGTTGTTACTCATGCAGAACGCAGCCTGGAACACTGTTGCGCGGGGGCCTTGGCGGATGTTCTTAAGGAAGACACAATCGCTTGAAGTGAGTGCAATTGCACGGGAATTGCTCCAGGTCCTCTCCAGCATTTTCTCTTCATTTTATCACCGCTAAATTGTCCGCCGTCGCTGACCTCCAAACAAAGCGATGAATGCAGGCAGGCCTCGAGAGGCATGCAATCAGATATAACTTCAGAAAGAGGCCTACAACCCCGGCAGTCCCTACAAGG